GAGATGCGGCCACCAAATTAGCTGAGGAGCGTCCCGAGTGGGTTAATTCTAGGTGGAGGGTTATTCTACGAGCTGTACTGCAGCAGGGCGGGGGGACAGGGGGGCTTCCTTGCGGGGAAGAGCTGGTCCAGGCAAATTGTCCGCAGTGCTGGCCAGGTGCTCAGTAGTCTGCTGTGTACTCTGTACCATGCAGAGCAGGGTGAGCTCCTTCTCCATCTCCTTCACTCGCCGCTTGTTCACACGCTCTCTGCTAAGACGGAAGGAGGGGGACAAACAAACATGAAGCAGGAGGGACAGAAGAGGCTGGGCAGGAGGGTCATTCCCACCATGTGTGGGGCACAGCCACCACAGGGAGCGGTGCACAAACCTGAGGATCTGCTGGCTGAAGGTCTCCTTCTGCTCGGGGCTGACGCGGGCGGAGGGGAAGCCATCCTGCTGCATGGCCTCCTTGATCCAGACACTCAGGTGGCTGAAGCAGTGCTTGTTCAAGGCAAAGAGGATTTCTGCGAAGTGATCCATGAGGCTGCGGGAGGCCTGGCCACCGATACCCTGTGCCAGGCTCTCTGTCCACAGCTCCGCAGGGGTGCCACCTGGGAACAGAGCCCAGAGCTGCCCAGGGAGCCCAGGGTCCCGGCCTCTCTCACCTCCAGCACTGCCTGCAGCAGCACTTTGCCGTTCTCATGCACAACCTGTCCCACCGGGGCGATCTCTCCGCAGCGGGGCAGCAGCTCCGTCTGCAACACACGAGCCCAGCTTGCTCAGTGCCAGAGCACCAGTGCAGCACCCTGGCCTGACCCATAGCCCCACTGCTGTCCCTCGGGGGGGGCAGCTGCAGCCCATCCCCACGGGGCCGCACAATGCCATGACACTCACAAAAAAGCCACAGGATGCTTTGACCGTTGGGGCCTCGGGGAACTTGAGTGAAAGGACACCTGCAGGCAGAAAGCGCTCAGGTTAGCAGCCAGAAACCCCGCACACCATCCCAAATCAGCCCTGTGGTCTCCAGCCCCCTCTTCTCCACAGAGCGATCTGGAGCACGTGCCCCTGCCTGTGGTACTCACCACACTGAAACACTGCTTTGACATCCAGGTTGCTACACAGGAAGAGGTCCGGCTTCCTTTTCAGAGCCTGCAAGGCACACAGACAGGCAGCTTAAACCCAGAGCTGCAGGGGCAGCCAGAAAGCCTCCGAGGAACCCAGTGCCCCAGCCAGCCTCTGCCTGGATGCACTTACCTGGGCACACCCACGGTAAACGGCAGAGTCACACAGTACAGCAGGAAACCATCACCTTCCCCCCCAAGGAAACATCAGTCAAACAGCCAGTTTGCCACACAGGCACCGCCAACCCCAGGACCTGAGGAGATGCCACGGCGGTGTACACACAAACACTTCGGACACAGGGACAGGACACAGGGCTCCTGTCCCACCAGAGCAGGCCAGTCAGCAGCAGCGCTCCTGGGTCAAAGGCAGCCACGCGGGGCCCAGCAGAGACCAGCCACCTCTCTGCTCCGCTCCGCTCCTCTTCAAGATGCTGGTGTCCCTGGGGTCACAGCAACTGGCTCAAGCAGTAACCCCAGACTGGACCAGCAGCTGGCTCTGCTTGGGCTCCAGGGCACAGATGACAAGGAGATGCCAGCATTGCTTGGCAGTTCCTGAGCAGCAACTCTGAGATCAGAAAAGCTTTGGGTTTTTTCTGCCCCTTGGTGATCCCACCAGCCACTGCGGGGGCCTGGGGACACCCTGACCTGTAGCACCCTGTGTCATAGCTTGGTCCTCCCTGTGCTGGCACAGGGCAGTTACTAGATGGAAACGTTTCAGTCTCTGCTCACAGTTCCATGGGAAGTGTTTCTGCCCTGCCTCGTAAGACAGCGATATCCATGCCCTGAGCACCATGCCACCGCTGCAGGCCAGCACAGGGGAGGGCAGCCCTGCTGTCACTGTGACACGGAGGACAGCAGCCACAGCACTGGAGTGGCCCTGCTCTGTGAGCAGGATACCAGGGCAGGCAGCCCTTGGGCTGAGCTGTGTGCAGGGCCACTGCCTCCCTCTGAGCCCGCTCGCAGGGATGAAAGCAGGGACAGCTTTCAGCCAGCAGTGCCCAGGACACACGGCCATCTGCCCAGAGCCATGGTCTCTACTTGGAGCAAAACAGACTTGTTTCCCACCCCTTTTTCTCCAGGGAATGCCCACAGCCATCTGCCCCCTGCAGAGAACATATGCTGGAGACTGAGAAGCCGAGTAGCAGGTTTCAGAATTACCCTGTCTCCTTTCTGGCTCTTTGGATCACACGCTGCAAGAGAGGAATCCAGTTTGGTCACCGAAGGCATCACTGTACCAGGTGGAGGGGGCACAACTGCAAGGACCTATTTCCCTGCCAGATGCAAGTGGAGACCTTCACGGGGGCAATCAGGGCCATGTTATACCTGTGTGTGTATACACAGACCGTGTGTGCCATCCCTCCTGACACACCAGCCCAACATTGGAAGGCTCGCTAGTGCATGGGCAATGGTTCAGAAATACCTGCTCTGATCGAGGCTGCTGCCGTCTAGTCAGCTCCACACCAGACAACGCTTGCAAGACGTACCGCAGTTTTCACTGTGATGGACTACCCCCCACTGCCCCCAGCCCTGGTCTGGGCTCCAGTGGTGACCACAAGCCTCTCCCCCAGCAGCACGCTACTCAAGGGTAGCTGGGTCCTGTGATTCCACCCCAGCTGCAGCAGGTTCCTGTGCCCTGCTGTGCAAGGGGCTGGGTTTAACCCATGTCCTGCACACTGCAACACTGTTCAGCTGGCACAAGGGTCTTCTAACATGCTCAGGTTGCCACCTACCTGCATGATGCTTCTCCCAGCCAAACCAGACTGGTGGTAGCCCCCAGGCTCTCCTGCAGACCTGCTGCAGCACCTGCTCCTCAGTCTGTCAGTGCCTCGGGGGAAAGCGTGCCCTTGTATTGGGAGGGCTGCATCTTGTAGGACACCTCCACCAAGGCAGGACAGACTGCAAGCTCAACCTGGGCACATGTCTAATGTAGACAGAGATGCTTTTTACCACCATGAGATGGGGCCCTGTGGAGTTTCTCCCATTAGCAAGCAGCACCACCTAAGTCCAACTGCTCTCTCCCAGCACTAGGAACTCTGCTCCAGCTCTGGGCCTCTTACTGCCAGCCTGTCCTCTCCGTCTCCTGCCAGAGCAGCTCTGCTTACATGTTCTGGGATGGGGAAAGGTCTTTAAACGCTTTCAAACGTCCTCCCACATCCTCTGCTGCAGCAGCCACTGCAGAGGTAGGCACAGAAGTCCTGCAGGCTGGCACAGAAATGATGTCAGGTTCCTCTCCAAGGCAGCCTGGAGAACCCCAGACAGATCTTCAGAGAAGGTTCAGTCTGCCCCTGGGCTCCTAGTCAGGGTAGGTCACTGCAGCACTCCAGAGGTCCAGCTGGCATGGAGCCCTGCCAGGGTGGGTGGATGGCTGCAGCTGCTGGTGGGGAGGCAGGCTGGAGAGCTCCAAAGTCCTACCTGCAACCCGGAGCACACTAGTGATACCCACTGTCCAGGGAGCGGGCAAGAGCTCCCAAACACCAGAACCTCCTGCCTGTGTTTGCAGACACAGAGCTGGGTGCAAGCCCCAGCCGCCGCGGCTGCGCAGTCCTGGGCGTGGGTGGCACTGAGCCCTGCAGCCCTCCAGGGGGGATGCTCACCTTGGGCACAGCAGCAGCGATGCTCTGCACCACTCCAGCACAGTGGAGGCGGGAGGGGGGCGGCTGAGGACAGATCTCATTGGAAAGGGTGCCAGTACCACCCCGTGCAGCCTTACGGCAGCCTGGTTATTTTATACTTAGCTTTGAGTAGTAACAATAACTCCAGAGTCTCTGGCATCTGTAAGATGTTTGGTTTAAGCCAGCATGCTCTTCTGCTCAGCCAGCCATCGTCAAGAGTGGACTGACAATTAACATGGTGACAAAATGATCAGCTGCACCAACTGGGCAGTCCAAGGGGCTGCAACCAAGCCCAAAGACATACACCGTAAAGTCAACTCAAATCCTGTCACGCAGAGAGATGGCTCCCTGTGAGCTGGTGACACAGCGTTGATGTGCAGCTATCAGGAGTTAGGAGCCTCTTCTGAGTTATCAGAAGGTAGGACAGTACTTGTGGGCAGAGGGAGAGGACAAAAATACTGCCTGTAAGGAGAAACCAGGCAAATTTGAAACAGGGAAGATGATATTTCCACCAAGGTGATCAACCACAGGAGTAGATGGTCAGGGAAGTGGGAAAGTCTCCACCTTGACACACTTTTGGGTCCAAACTTGCTGCTGCTCTGGAAGATACATTTTTTCACCAAGGGTTCCGCAGGCAGAGCAGGCTGGGATGAAAACACAGCTCCCGCCACATGAAAATCTGATCTGAAGAGATCTGTAGTTCTCTCTGACATTAATCCATTAATCAATAGCATCAACGCAGAGCATGGTCCTGTGGAAGAAGACAGGCTGGACCCACCTCTGCCATCAGACAGCTCTTGAAGTCTTAAGAGCAAAGAGCTGAGCAGGGATGCCAAGGCCATTTCTTGATGGGTTTCAAAGCACCCCACCAGATCACCAATCTGGGAAGAGGCACAGGCCAAGGAAGAGGAGGAAACCTTGAAACCAGTCCTACATGTGAGGAGAGAGGACTGGGATAGGATTCTTTGGTCTCTGGGTGGTTGTTGGAATAAAAAGCCCAGGAAAACATCAAGTCTTGAGTGACAGTGAGCAGTGGTGGGCTGGCAGCACATCAGGCACCTTGCAGTGACCCATGATGGAGCAGGAGGTAGGAGCTGTGAGCTGCTCCCGTATCAGGACCTCCAAAGGACGTGGGCTGTCCAGAGACCAGGCTGGCTGTCAGAACGCTGCCCCAGCATTGCCTGCAGATCCTGCCCCAGAGGGCAGCTTGTAACAGCTTCCCAGAAGCTGGGATGGGTGGTGGCGTCTCTGATAGCACACCCCATGAAAGTGCAGCACAGCTGAGCTCTTCTCTCCAAGAGAGCACAAATGTGGTGTGTTCAAACACAGAGAAGGACTCCAAGCCAGATAGAAACTCAGCACTTTCCAAAGAAACAAAAAATAGCCTTGTCAGTGGTCTCAGCCTTGTCAATAGTCTCTCAGCGTCACCTAACCCTCTACTCCTCCAGCAGGATCACCTCTGTCTGCCCTCCAGGAGCAACAGGCTTGTTGAATCCTTTCCAGCCCTCCAAGCAACAGCAGCTCCCCAAGTGACCTGCGAGTGCTTCCCTGCACTGCTAGAAAGATCTCCTACTGCCTAACCTGGATCCTTTTCCATTATTGCCTCCCGTGACTGTTTGTCCCACTCGAGGAGAACAGCAAAGGGGTTTTTACCTGTGACTGGGACATTACCTTTTACACAGCCCGACTCATGCAGCTCCTCAGGCTCCTGTCAGCCTTTCCTCCTCACCATGTGTACCATCTTCCCAGGTGCTTTTCTCTATGCTCTCTGGTCTGTATCTATAAAAATGTTGTGCCCTAAACTGGGCACAGTGCTCGAGCAGAGGTCCTGTCAGTGCTGAGCGGCCAGGTGGACATCTCCATGAGTTTCACACACAGACCCCATTCACCAATTCTCCCATCATGTTCAAAACCCTTGCTAAAAGGTCACAGCTTCCAAAACCAGCATTGGCAAAAGCTGTGAGTGCTTTCTGACACCCTCGATTACATTACGCTTTCAAGAGGAAAAGCAGGGAAGAAAACATTGCGATACAGCCTGTGAGATGCGGTGGGGCTCAGCAGGATCTGGGTGCCAGGGAGAGACCCGTGAGGAGCAAACACTGCCCAGGGGGGTGGAGGTGCAGCCCCCTCACCTGCTCCATCTCACGAGACCCAGGCGAGGGCCAAGCTGCTGTTGGAGGGGGCCGATGGCTTAGCACCCAGACACACCAGGCACCCTTCTCAGGCTGCTGGCAGGGGCAGGACGGCCACAGCTCTGGCCGCTGCCTGGGCGAGTGTCCCTGCACAGCCACCGGGCCAGCACACCTGCTCAGAAGTCTCATCATTACAGAAATGAAACAGAAAGCGACTTTGCCAGCCCCTCCTTGTCACTGACCCACCCTAGGGGTAGGTGCCAGGGGAAGCATCTCCAACAGGGACACTGAGTGCACTGAGGACATCAGGGCTTCTCCCTCAAGGGCCAGGGTGGGCTGAGGAGCATGCCAGGCTCCCGCTGCCCCCGATGGCTGCACAGACCCACAGAGCACAGTACCAGCCCTGCCTGCCCACTGCCACTGGTGACACGAGTGTCAACCCCCACCACGCCAACACAAACCATCCCTGTGTGCCACTGAGCCCAGGCTGCAGGAGCTGCCACCACCCCAAGGGGCTGCCGGGGCAGTAGGTAGTGTAGCACCCTGGTAGGTCCAGATGCCACCACAAACACGTTGCTCAGAGCCAAACTCCAGCAGCTGCCTGCTACCATGGACAGGGGCTTCCTCCCACCGGCCCTGGGGCAAGGCAGCCAGCTCAGGTGTCCCTGCTCCAGAGGACCCATTGCAGGGCAGGTAAACGGGTCAGAAAACATCCACTGAGTGCTCTAATTTGTGACTCAAGGGTGACCACAGCAGCAGCCCCAAGCACCCTGCGCCGGCTTCGGTGAGGCAAGGGGGTGGCAGCTGGAGGCTGCCCTGCAGAGGAGGGGGGCTGCCCTGGGGATGGTGTGAACCCAGAACTAAAGGAGAATGTTTTGTTTTCAACTTCCACGGAAACAGATGGAGAAACTCGATATTCAACTAAAAGGAAAAAAAACGTTGTCAACAGAAAGCTAAAAATAGGTTTAAATTGAATTAAAAAGAGAAAGAGAGAGAACAGAAAGTGAATGAATAAGAAACTAAAACACACCTGTGCCAGGAGTTGCATAAATGAATCAACAATATCAGGATGATCCCTGGGCCCTAAAATATAATAAAGATGTAACTTAAGAGAAAAATCATACAAACAGCAACTCAACATCATATAGTTATGTGATACAGAAAGAATTTACAAGTGAAAACAGGAGTGCAAGGGAGGAGGGGTGTGTGGGGAAGGGGATGGGCAACATGAGCAGCTTGAAGCAAGTTAAAGAAACAAAACATACGAAAAATCATGAAACTTGGAGAACCCAAGAACAGAAAGAAACTGCAAAGGAAAGGGTCTGAAGCCCCAGGGTCTCCACCTAGCACCTGGGTGCTGCAGAGCCAGGGAGGAGATCTTCATGTCCCTGGGGAGGAAGAGGAGGAGGAGCAGGGGCTAGCTGGGCACAATCTCCACAAGGAGAATTAGAGCTTTTGCACTGTGGGGACTGAGCGGGTGTCTTCAGAGCACCATTTGGTCCTGGAAGATAACTGCAAGTGAACGACAACACCTCAGCAAACGCTTGACAGGCCCGGCCGGGCTCAGGCGTGCACATGCTTGTCACCAGCACCAGCTGCTCAGGAGCCCCTGGCACAGACACCCTCCCGCCCCATCCCAGATGCTCTCCAAGACCCTGAGTCCAGGACCCTCCTGGAGGTCTCCTCCAGCATCCTCCTGGGAGAGAGCAGCTCAGTGCCCAGAGATCTCCATGCCAGCACCACTCACCCTACCTTGGCAATCGACTCTGTGCACAGACACGTCTCGGTCCCTGCGGGGTCAGGGGTCCCCCCTCTCCAGCTGCCCATGGGCTCAGCAGAAGGGGTTCACCTTGCTCAGGGCCGGCAGCCCACCAGAGGGGACCCATGGGGTGGGTGGGAGCACAGTGCTGGGCACACAGCGAGCTGGATGGCCACTTGCCTGAACAAAGCTCGTGTCCAAGCGTTGGCACAGCTTGGGCTCTGTCCCCCTCCTTTCCTCCTGCAATGCCTGCTGCTGCCCGGAGGCATCGCCGCCTCCCCAGGTGCCAAGAGGGTTTCAGCATACACGCATCCACACGCCGCTGGCAGAAGCAGGGACCTGATCTCTGGGTAAGCCCGGCTCACTTGTCATGGACCCCAGTGACATCTCAGTGCAGCAGGATTTGATCAGACCATGGTGTGATGATGAAGCAGGGGTCCTCAAACCTCTGCGACCACTCTAGAGAGCTCTGAGCCTTGTACTGGGAGGAGGCATCACCCTACTCAGCACTCAGCTATGAGCAAAGGACAAGACCCCTTGGGGACTGTAAACAGAGCTACTGAAGGACCAGAGCCAGCAGCTCCAAGGTACGTCTGTCCTCATCATGGGGCAGGTCACCAAGAGCCTGAGGGGAGCCATGAGGGGGTCTGTCCTAAACCCAGTTGCTTTTTGTAGTGCAGGCAGTGAGTCAAAGAAGGGCCCCTGCCCTGTGGGAGGATGCCAGCATCCTCAGCATCACAGCAGTGACTCGGTGGCCAGCAGTGACTCTGAAAAGATCCTTTCCCAGATATTCCCACACATATCCTCCTGCTCATGCGAGGGCTTGATTCCTGGCCTCTATGAGCACCACTGGCCCCAGGATCTCCTAAGGAGCACAGCCTCCCTGCCAAGCAGGACTGGAGCTCCGGCTTGACCCTTGCTGCACACGATACCCAGCAGTCCAGAGTCTTGCCCGGAGGTTTCCTGCTTCTGTTGCTCTGCAGGGAAGGTACCCACCTTCCAGGGGTTGGGATGAATCCAAGAAACTGAGATGGCCCCATTAGTTTAGTTAGGAGTGAAAACAGCCATTCCTGGTAAGACGCCTCCAGACTCCATGCATGCAACAGCCTGACAACAGCCCCAGCGCGAAGAGGGGTTAATCCCACGTACCTTGCTGGAAGAGGGTCAGCGTGACTGAGGTAACGAGCAAGAAGAGGGCCTTGATGGGAGGGAAGTGGGCAGGCTCATGGGCAAAGATGTGAACCAGCTGCAAGAGAGAGAAAGACCAAAGCTGCTGCTGGCCCTGTGTGCCCCCAGCCTCTCCGGGGAGCCGCAGCCCCAGCCCCAAGCGTGGCTCCGTACCTGCCGGGTCAGGTCGATGGCAGAGGCCTGTGGGATGGTGCTGTACATCTGCCCCAGCATCTCACACAGCTGAGGCACCATGGGGGCAAAATCATCCAGGAGGGTCTTCACGGACTTCTCAAAGATGGCACAGACAGACTGTGGGAGAAGAGGGACTGCATGAGCAACAGGCATCTGGAGACCTCTCCTGGGGAGGTTAGGGCTTGATGGATGGGTCCCCAGGGAGGGAAGAGCTGGCAATGGGGACAGAGACCAGCCAAGCAGATGGCTCAGAGCTGCTCTGGTACTGGTGCCCTGCTCTGCAGCACAGGATGCTCCCAGAGACCAGGAAACACCCTCCCCACTGAAGC